GGGAAAATGYYCCTGCYCATGGCAGGGGRTGGAAAATGATGATTTTCAAGTCCCTTCCATTTCTGCAGGTATCTACCACAAGACAATGAGCCTGTAACCTTCTGATGAACAGGGATTTGAGCTGTCAAAGTAAAATTAAATTACTATTTTGGGGAGTGTGCAGAAGACTATCAGGAGAGGGTATTACTGCTCCTGTATCAAAAATGTTTTCTCCACTCATGGAATAAAACAGGTGAACTCTAATCACCCCCTCAACCTGCCTTCAGGTTTCTACAGACCCCCTTCAAGCACACACCAGCGAGAGTGGAAGGAGAAGAAAGGGAATGTTGCAAGTTATTCTACATCCCTTCTGAAGAGAGGGATGAAATCTCCATGTTGTTGATTTTCCTGGTTTAACGTTTGCAGTGTGGGGGGTTGGAGGAACAAAAAAAGACGAGATGGTTGTGTTGAAATGCTAATGAGCACATTTACAAGGCTCTGCCAGAAACTCTGTGCTTCAGCTCGCTTTTATGAGCCATTTTGGAAGATGTCTTAGTTGCAGTGGCACAAAAAGCATTGTCAGGACTTTTCTATTTTCTCATTTAGAACACCATGACACTGTTTGGAGAGGGTCTGCTTGTGCAGCACACAAGCCAGTATCAGTATTGTATAACACAGCAGCTAGACTCATTTTGCAGTGTGATTACAAAACCCATCACTGTGAATTATACAGCAAGTTAAATTGGTTTCCACCTTCTGCAAAGCCAGAATATTATCTTGCACAAATAGTGTACAAATGTGGAAATAATACAAGTCCAACTTATCYGAATGATAGAGCACAGAAAGCTTTCAATGCTCACTCCATCAGTACTTTCCATTTTCTGTTAATGGCACGTGCTGTGGTCTGAAAGCAAGCTCCAATAACACTGAATGGTCTCACTTTTTACTTTTGATATTTTTATTTTTACTAGGCTTAAATTTACTAGGGTATCCTGCCACTGATAAAGAACTTTCCAMATCTGAAAAATATTCTTTTAGCAACCTCTTTACACAGAATCACAGAGCCATTTGGGTTGGAAGGGATCTCAAAGCTCATCCCACCCCAGCCATGKCAGGGACAGCTCCCACTGTCCCAGGCTGCTCCCAGCCCCAATGTCCAGCCTGGCCTTGGGCACTGCCAGGGATCCAGGGGCASCCACAGCTTCTCTGGGCACCCTGTGCCAGGGCCTGCCCACCCAAACAGGGAACAATTCCTTCCCAATCTCCCATCTGGCCCTGCCCTCTGGCACTGGGAAGCCATTCCCTGGCTCCTGTCCCTGCAGTTCCAATGCACTTTTGATGAACTTTTCCCTTCTCTTGATCAGAAACACTCATGAACGTCTGCTGCTAATGAACAATTTTTTTCTATTATTTATATTTTTCTATTAATTAAAAATCACCATCATTAGCTTCAGATTTTTCAGCATAATTTAAACACAGAAAAAGTCCTCTCATATGAGCAGCTCAATGTTCAGYGTTCCCTAGAGGAGGAAGGGAGCTTGGTGAACCTCACCATCCTGGATGAGCTGTGCTTTCCAGTCCCTGAACACACCTGAAGAGGAGCTCCACGGTCTGAATGAACTCCCCAACAYTCTGTTCCCTGGATTACAGCTCAGGATAGATGAAATGGCAGAGAGAGGAGCAGGCAAAGGAGAAGAAACAGTCAAACAGCTCCATTCAGACTGGAATTATATCCCAAGGAAATCAGACACAGAAACAGGCTGCCTGTCAAGAATTCCCCCAGCTGGACAGACCTTGCAGAAGCTTTCTAAGCCCATTTATCCATTTCTAGAATTCCACAGCCATGSAGGCTGCTAAAAAATATTGCCACACGCATTTGTAGGTAGATGCAACTGCACGGATGTAGCAGAGCTGATTTATTTTTCTCTTTCTATTAAAATCAGCGGCTCCATCTCTAGCAGAGCTGTACAAATAGAGTTATTCCAAGCAGACTATTTTGCAGACATTCTGTCTRTTCTCCAGACTGAGAATTGTCACTGCCACACTGCCACGGAGCTGATGGGATTTGGGAGTTGCCATAGTGTTAAATGTTGCTCCTGTGATCAGCATCYGCTGATTTAAATGGAAGTCTTGAGCCATTTTCTCTCCTCTGTATTTCAGTCATTTCAAAGGCATCATAGACAAAAAAGGTGTAATGATACTGGGTGAAAAATGTATTTAAATGMGCTTGCCGTGATCTGATTTCAAGGTCAGGGCACACAGTCTCTGCTTTCAGCTGCTGTAAAGGACAGGACACATTGAAGGGCTCTAGCCAAATGAGTGATATTTAATAAACATCTGCACACACATTCCCTGCACAGTGTTTTCGAAATGCCTGAGCTGAATTYTGTGTCTTTACAACATGCAGGCCAACACCTCACAATTCCAGCTTTCATGGATGGGATGATTTCAGCAGCTGAGACAAACCACATGAGGCCAGGATCAATGGGGCTCTTGGCACTTGGGAAAGGTTTTGAGAATTTRCTTCTCAAATTTATCAGTATTAATAATTCTCATTTAATTCCTTTTCCTTGTCACTTGCAATGAGTCAATCGCTAATTAAATGTTGTTGAAAAAGATGAATTACATTTTTACATGCTTAAAAAGAGTGCTGTTAATATGTCTAAATCTAGATGTGAAATGCAGAACACAGTGATCTAATCTCCTAAATACACTTGTCATCCAAAATAATCTTATGCTGGTTTAATTTTATTGCCAAAAAAGGAGAAGTACTGGAAAAGTGAACGATGGACATTCAACCCTCTTACATGTATTGGTATAAATTTTATATCCAAATCCCATGGAATTAGTTTGCAGAATTAATAATTTCCTTTTGGTGGGGAGGTGATGACACAAGAAACAGCACGTCCCTACTGATAGGTCAGAAATTCATTCGTTCTTTTTCTCCCCCTTGCTTTGTAGCTATTCCTATTTAAAAGCTGCAGAAATGCCCAATTTAAAGCTGTGTCCAACAGCAGCAACTCCCWTCTCTTTTTGACTGACAATGATGAGATTTCTGTCATGCTTTGCCTCTCCTACAGTGCCAGTGATGGGATTTTTTTTCCCTGGAAATCTTATTACTGAATGCGCCGTCGTGGTCTCAGATGGAACTTTCAATCAGAAAGGCAATCAGAAGGTTTTCCATTTGTGAGTTTTCCTACAAAAGAGCTTTGCTAAACTCTCCAGTGTGGCCTTGAAGTCAGTCAGAGCAGAGAGCCTTGCCCTGAACGCTGATGTGGCCCCAGACAGCACCATGATCTGTGCTCACAGCACTTCCCTGGCTCCCAGGTTTGGGATGGACACCAGAAAGTGGCTCAGTTTTGAATCCCTTTCCTGTTTACACTGGTTTGGATACGGCAGGGCAGCTCAGAACACCCTGACGCTCGGAGAAAGCAACCAGTAACAGTAATCCTGGCTTTTATTGCAGTGAGCTACAGAAATGTGTTTGATTTCATTGAAATCTTCAGGACTGCTTCTTCCCTACCTTTAGAGGACTTTGCTCTTTAGTTTTGTGTTTTGCCAAAATTTTTAGATACCGTTATTCAAAAGCATTTTTTTAAAATGCAGTGTAACTTAAATGTATTGGGTACTTCATGAATTTCAATAAAATCTTTATCATACCTATCAAAGTGACATTAATATGTTAGTTACCCACAGACTACATCATTAAACCAATCATGCTGCAGCTAAAGCAAAGTCAATGTTCCCWTTTGAAATACAGGCAAAACTGGGGTGATACATTCAGAACTCTGTTAGCACAAGTGTTATTGAGGAATTAAAATCAGTGGTGGTTTTAACTAGCAATGCTTTAACAAAAATCATGTGAGGTTATTTTTCAGTGTGCTGCAGTGAGTCACTCACAACTCCTGTGCTCCCATCACCACAAATTCTGCAATCACTGTCAAAAATTGTTTCAAATACTCTCCTTTTTGTTGTTGTTGGGTTTTTTTGGTGGGATTTTTTTGTTTGTTTTGTCTGTATTTAACTAAGTATTTAACTAATAAATAAAGGATTTTGAGGAAACTGCACTCCTCAAAAAACCTGAAGCTATTCAGGCAGATTCTTTTCTGCAGTGCCCAGGTAAACCTGAAAGAAAAGCAATAACAAGGGAAGTATTTATAAAAATATATTTCACAAAGTAGGAAACAATACAGGAGATTCTCTGAATACAATACATGGAGTAAATAAACAAACGATAATATAGCTTCAAAACAAAGTAGAAAATTAAAATGATTTGCATGTAATACGTCGTTTTCTTATACAATTGCTACTTCTAAATGGCAAGTTTGCATTACAAATCGAGTATGCTCGCAGCTTCTAGTGTTCTTTCTCTGTGTGCAAGAGCCCTGGTGCATCACTATGAGTATTATAGAAAAAAAAAATGCTAATAACAGAAGCAGAAAAATTATGTACACACTGGTTCCTGCTCTAATACAGTGGAGAACTATAAGCATTTTTTTTTTTTTTTTAACTGTACTGTGTTATGTGTGGATTTCTAAAAGTCTATAGTTTAAATATTCACATGAACCAGTTTACTTCCAGCTGTTTGTGCTTGTATTAAAAACACCAGGTACTAGATTTATGAAGAAGATATAAAACTGTCAAAAGTTTTCTCTGGGAAAGTTTAATTCCTGCCAGCATTCTCTTAAAATTCAGTTACTGCAAATGGACAGGGAACTGCTTTAACCTGCAACAATTCGTCATTTTTTCTTTTCAAAATGTACATGTATGAAACATTCATTATATATAGAAAAAAAAATCTAACTGATATAATTTAGTTTTCTTCATAATCTTACTCTATAGATTATCAGTCTTAATAAATAAAAGCAGTAATGGACATCAATAAAATATTTATTTCAAAGATTAAACAAATAAATTCGATCTTTAGCAATAAAATCAGCAATTCTTTCATTTATGTAAGTCCATCCCATTTCACAGTTGTTGTTTTTTTTTTTTTTTTCCTTTCAGAAGACGAAGCACAGGATTGATCCTTCTTCTAGAAAAAAAAAGATCCTACTGTGAAGCAAGGCTTTGCAGCCCTGCCTCTGAATCTCTACACATTAGTAGCATTTATTACCCATCACTGGAATGGATTAAGAACATGTGAATATTTTAAGGCTTGACACAATATTTAGAGATGATATTCAGTCTGTGGTTACGTGGCCAACAATTACKGTATGTACAACGGATGGTCACTGCACAGTAGGAGCCAGCAGGGGTTGGCAATGCCATTTCTGCTCAGCATTGCTCAGAAGACCAAGATATTGCTTTGAACATTTCTGTGGCRGGATCTTTGTTGGCAATGCAGAAACAAACCTTTAGCTTTACACGTACTGGCAGGAGCTACTGTTCAACAGCAAATCCCTGCAAGTCCATTTCCTAAGAGAGCACCGATTTCTTTTTTTGTTCTTTTCAACTCACTGAAGATAATCAAAGATCCGAATCTCCATCTTCAGAGTGGTCAAGTGAATATCAAATATCCAAAGACTTCTAGACACTCCACATACTTTACTTCACACTCCACAAGACTTAACCTCCTAACATATACTTTTTTTTTTTTGGTTCAACATTACAATGTAGTTGATTTTATAGATGACTGGCGCTAAACTTGCCTCTAAAACAAAAAGCCACATTAGTTTTAACTAACAGCAGTGGCCCTAGAATATTACATGATCATTAAGTCAACAGGGGAGAAGTTTGTAATCCACTGTCAAGTTTCTTTGTCACTTTCTCCAACTGAGTAAAGTTCTCCGAGTCTTTTAAAGCGAGGACCCCATTCACTGAGGTAGTCAAAATTCTGATCTGAGTCTGATGTGGAGGACTCCAAGGAACTAAGGGAACCAGCCGCTGACCCCTTTCCTTCATAGCCATAAATCTGGATGGAGTCATATGGCGGAGCTGTGGGGTCATTATCAGCTTCATGAAGCCTTACATTGATAAATTCATCAACATCAACACCGTTAGGAACAGGGGCAAGACCCTGCCTGGGCATAAATTGAAGATCAGGCTTAATATCCTTACGGGGCAAAAATCCATTAATTCCATCGGGGTTTTGCAGGGTCGCGATGTCAAACGCTTCCGTGTCTTCCTCTCCTCCTCCCTCATCGTCGTAGCGGATRATGTTTTCCCTCACATCTTCGTCATCTTTGATGATCAGAGGCTCGTTCTTGTGTCTCCTTAGCGTTACAAACAGCACCACGATGACTGCAAAGAGAGCACCACAGGCTGATCAGGCAAAACATTCCCAACCAAACTCCACATGGTGAGTGTAGCTGAGGAAGGGGAGAGGTTGTTTTTTGTAGAATTGGGGCTAAGAAGGGTGAAAAGCTGAAAAATCAACTTCAACCCCATGCAGGTGATGGAAATTTGACCAGAAGCTCTGATTAGTCCTCTAGTCTTTGATTATCAGCTCATATTTACATCTGAAGCTCAATTTTATGGAAGCATTAAGAATTCCAGTACTTCAAATTTTGAGCCTCAACTTTTCTCTTTGGAAGTGAAGTCAGGCTATCATTATTCACACAGTCTGTAGTGATCTATATTATGGATGGTGTGTTTAAATTAGGGGGTGTTTTCCTAAAAACATCCCCCTAATGGGAGAAGGAAATCAGTTTTTTTCTACCTACTGCAGGAGACCCATATAACTAAAAAGAGAGTGAGACAGTAAGTAAAGAAAGAGTTTAGCTCAATTTCAGAACCGCGGACAGCTGCATAAAAAACGCTAAATGGGTTACACTTGTTTTTGCAGTTTAATGCTGAAATCTCAGTTAGTGATGTAAATCTCAGTTACAACGTGAAGCTGTGAAGTGCAGAAATAGGGCTCTCCCTTCACTGTTCTCTCCCTTGCTTGCTTGATGTTGTACACAAATGTTGGATGTTTTATTAAAATAAACCACACTGCTTGTCTTGTGATGCTTTAGTGTCTCTCGTGCCATTACAATCCAGAACAAACTCCTAATACAAACATACAAATATAAATATATACAYACTGGAAGGATATAAAGGTGTAAGAAAGTATCCAAAGGAGGGACAGGGCTGGGGAAGGGTTTGGAGGGGTACCTGAGGGGTGGCTGCAGCTGTGCCAGGGCAGGCTCAGGCTGGATTTTAGGAAAGGTTCTGCTGTCCCCAGAGGGTGCTGGCACTGCCCAGGCTCCCCAGGGAATGGTCCCGGCCCCGAGGCTGCCAGAGCTCCAGGAGCCTTTGGACAGCGCTGCCAGGGATGCACAGGGGGGACTGGTGGGGGGTCTGGGCAGGGACAGGGGCTGGATCTGTGATCTTTGGGGATCACTTCCAGCTCAGGATGTTCTGTGATTCATGCAAGTCTCAGAAGATGTAACAGACGTGATGGAACAGACCCATTTCCCATCATGAGCAGCACACACTGCACTCATCTTGCCCTAACACCCCAATCTGATTTTCAGTTTCCCATTYGATTAATCTGTAACTTTTGGGTACAACTACTTCAGAACAGAACTTTGCTTTCTCTGTCCAGCTCTTAGGACATGACAGGAGCTCCAGAGCTGCTGCACACTGTGTAGGACTGGAGTGCCCCTCCTCCTCTGGATCCCTGCCCCCTTGCAGCCCCCCAGGAACRGGGAGCCGTGTCCCCAGTGCCATCAGTACCCACCCAGGAGCAGGATGATGCAGGCCAGGATGGCGATGAGGGCGCCCATGCTGAGGCCGATAGGCAGCACGTAGGCTTCCACGTTGCAGGACTGGACGGTGCCGTCGCTGCTGCAGCCGCACACGCGGATGGTCAGCGTGCTGGTGCTGCTCAGGGGCGGCGTGCCGCTGTCGCTGATGATGATGGGCAGCAGGTACAGCTCCTGCTTCTGCCGGCTGAAGCCACCGTGCTTGGCCAGGATGCTCAGGGTGTTATCTGCAAGAGGCAACGGGTGCAGGGTGTCAGCAACATGATTGCAGAACACACAGCTCCTCCTCAGTGAGTTCGGGAAACCTCAAAGCCAACATCCCGTGATCCCTGTGTGCCAGCAGCACSTGGCACAGGAATACCCCTTTCCTGCCCAGCTGCCTGAAGAGGTGCAATATCTGCATTTTCTTGTGTCACACGGTAAGGTGGTGATGATGATGGCAATCCCCTATTTCTCCATACACTCTGATTCCTCAGGATTTCAGCTTCTCTATTTCCATGTCTCTGTACCCCTGTGATTCTTCAGTGTTTAACTCCACACTCCACAGACAGTGCTGAGCTCCTGCTCTCCCGTTTTTACACAAAACAATTCCTCTGCAGCCCCAAACTCAAGGACACCTCCCTGKGCCAGGCCCCAAGAGATGGAAAGAACAGAGAATTGGGGGAGCCAAGTTGGAGTTTTTGACTGCATTGGCTGCAGCTGCAATTGGAGGATTCAGCAAATCCCGATGTGCAAATGGACAAAAGTGAGAAAGGGTRAAAAAGCCGTGAGCCATTGTCCATTGTGGGTGCAGCCCCTGGCTGGGCTGGGACTGCCCTGGATGGCCCTGAAGGGACTGCAATGAACAGAACTGCTTTGGATTCTCTCAATTTTGTCTGGCCTTTGTTTTAAGCAGTCAGATTTAGGCATCAATACATCCCTATAGACATCTTTCCATCATGATTCACCACTTTTTTTTTTTTTTTTTTTTTTTTTTTTTTTTTTTTTTTTTTTTTTTTTTTTTTTTTTTTTTTTCAAAGCCACACTCATAAAAATTCAGCCAGAAAACAAAAGATAAAGGAGATGTTAAAGTAACCCAAACTTAAAGAACATTCATCAGTTAAAACAAATATTCCTTGCCTTACAACCACATAATGCATATTTTCCACTGGCATTAAAGGTTCTTCTTTTTTACATAAAGACAAAATTCATTAGAAGTTGAAGGCCTAATTTTCAACAATCTTAACATTTATTGAGGCTCAATGATAAAAATAAAGCAAACGAGGCTCTATGTCCCAGGCTCTAAGATGGAGGCAGTCAGGCAATGAGTCTAGGACATTCTTACCTCTGCACACATATGCAGAAAGTTAATTTTAGAAATACACAGGCATCTGACTGCATGGCATCCTACCCAGCCATAGAATTACACAGTGAAATCTCTCAGTCTCACGTCAGCATCAAATAAATACAAGTGGATTTTTCTTAGGTTAATCATACAGATTTTATTCTGTATAGTTATAAGAATTACAGATTTTAGCTAGTTATGAACACACTACTGTCATGAATTAATTATCTTTTATGTGTCAGAATGCTCAGGTATAAACCATGATTAGTGTTATGGCAAATATCAAAAACCTCTGATTTCTTTAYATACTTAAATATTCTCTAACTTTCAACTGCTTTATTTAATGAATAAAATAATAATTCAATATTAGGAATTATACTAACAGASTGCATGTTGACTTGCACTAGTTTTCTGTCTGTTTTGTTTAATAAAAAGATTCTGAGGCAGAACAGGAATGTTTGTGTGTGTGTTGCTGTGGGATCCAATGACAATTTAAAATAAAGCTGCACATCTTGTTTGGAAGAAGGAGTTAAGGTTCATTTTCCTGATGCATCATGAACAAAAGAAAGCCTCCTGATCCATTATGCTCCACAATGGGCACATGAAATGCTAAATGTCATTCCGTGGAAGRAAAGAAAACACTGGGAGTTCTCATATGATAACAGGCTTCTTCTGAAAATCAGGTCCTCTCCAACCCAAACATTCTGTGATTCTATAATCTTCTGTCCCTTCCACAGTAGAATCACCCACCAAACACACTCACCTGGCCTAGAGAAGTTCTTGCTATAATTTATATTGCAGGTGATGCAACCACTTCAGCATTTTTCATGCATTTAGAGTATGCAACACATGAWGGTCAATCTAAAAATTAACTCCTTCATAAAGCAGAATAAATATGGTCCCTTTGCAGAACAAAAAGTATTCCTATGGGAGGTTTTTTTTGTGTGTTTTTTGGTTTTTTTCCCCTCAGGAATCCTGAGTTTTTCTCTATTCCAGCTGGAAACAGTCACATCAAAACTGATGGCACCCTGGAGCTAAATAAATAGTCTAGTCCTTCCTTGTGCCCTTTTTAAAATGAAAGGAAGCACATGTGTTKACTGAAGACAAATTCCAGGTAGAAGCTCTTAAGAATTCTGACAACTCAAACAGGACCACAGTGCCTGAGGATCCCCAGGGTCACAAGTGCCACCGTGCAGGGGTAAAGCCACGTGTGTTTGTGGTCAATAATTAACACACATTTATCAGTGAGCAAACCCTGCACTGCTCCTCCTTGGCTGGGAGAGTTAAGCCACTCCCAATGCCATCCTTGTCCTCTGCAGGGAGAAAAAAGTTGGAAAAAGAATCCTGTAGTTCAGTTTCCCTGAATATGGGTGTGTACAGCTTTACCAAAGTAAGAGTGATTATTGTGATATGTAAAAGATACCATTTTACCTGACAGCCTTCTTTTTCCCCCTGGCATCCCTCCCTATTTTCAAACATTGAAAAATAAATTCATCTGTCCGTTGACATCCATGGCAAAATAAAAAATATCCCAGTAGAAGTTGCATCCCTAATCCTTTTGCTTTAACCTTTCAAAAGAGAAAAACACTACATGGTGCTCTGTTTCCAGCTCTTTCTGTCTTTGAGACAAATCCCACTCAGAAACATCACATCTGTATCATTTACACCAAACTCCAGACTCTTTTACAGCTCTGTGTCACAGTGCTCCAAATTCTGTAGCAATGCAGCCTGTTCCCTCCTGTGATGCTGCTGCAGTCCTTCCCTGCCCGAGCTGGAGAACAGCATCGATGTGCTGAGCACAACAGCCCTGCATGGTACAGAAATGCAAAAGAGGGGAGGCACCTGCTTCAGGAAGAAACAAAACAAAACAAAACAAAACAAAATAAAACAAAAAAAAAGGGAAGCTGCACTCATTGGGAGTAACTTCAGATCCCTTCCATCCTCCTGAGACTCTCACTGCCATCCTGTGTGGTGCAGAAAATGCCAATGAGCCAAAAGCAGAGTACAACTGAGTGAAAAAGGGAGGGAGTACTCTAAAGAGGAAAGAAGAGAGATGGAGAGGAAAGAGGAGAGATGGAGATGACAAAGTACCCATCAGTGAAGCTTTGCTGAGTGTAAGAAACTACTTGGTAGCAGTAATGATTACCAATGCAAGTGCAGAAGAAATGAGAGAAAGCAAAGACATGCAAGATATTTGGGATATTTCACTGTTAGTTAAGTGCAAATGAAGTTGCAATGGCTGGACAGTCAGAACTATTCAGAAGAGATGTCAACTTTCTTTTCTTACAGATGGCTTGTTTGGCTAGGGATTTTGTTGTTGATTAGGTTTTTTGGGGTTTTTTTTGTTTGTTTGTTTGTTTGTTTGCTTATTAGTTTTTTGTTAGAATCTGCTGTGTTTGACTAAAAGTGAACATGTTATGCCTGGAAAGAAGAGAAACTGGCAAGCAGGAAAAAATAGAAGAAACAAAATGAAATGACCAAATTGTTTTTGCCAGTGGGTGGCAACTCCTCCATTTGACTTAGGAATTTTGTTAAGCAAGAAATTCTTTCCCTTTCACTGCTATGTCTTAAAATAAATATGCCTTGGTGTTGCTGCAGATGTGGCTCTTGAGTGAAGAACAAAGACTCCCTAGCTGATATTTCAAGTTCCTAGAACCTGAAAATAAATCCTAGCAGCTGATCAGCCATAAACTCAATTTCTCTGATTTGTTTCCTCCTTTCTGTGGACATTCCCCTCTCCTGTAGCTGACAAAGCAGCAGGAATCTCCTCCAGGAGCAAGCTCCAGCACTGCTGCATGAATTAACTCATCAGCAGCTGCTCAGTGGGAGAGGGACACTCGCCTTCCACTCATCTCCCCAGTTAACCCACGGATCCTTCATTACAGCACTGTTTGGGTTGTTTATTTATTATCGATTCATTTACTTTTAAAACAAGGAAGATCATGTGCAGCAAACCCCCAAACCTCCTGCCACTGAGGCATGTCCAGGAGGAGCTTTGACATTCCCCATCAGGATGAGTCTCCCGGAATTCTGTGCCCTTCTCTGTGGAGTAGGGGCTGCAGAAGCTCATGAAATACCCTCTGCCTGGTGATGTACCAGCCACCCAGCAGGGAGCAGGAGCTGCATCCTGTCCTGCAGGCTCCAGGAATGGTGTGAGATCTCTGGAATTGTCTCAGCATCCATGTCAGGCCAGGGAAACACAGCTCTGGGAACACACAACCACAGCGCAGAGCTGGAGCTCACTTCTACCGTTTTGAAACATAAACCAAACCCATTGCTTAGCTCACAGGCTGACTCTCAGTTTCTGAAGTTTACAAGCCGATTTTTTAAACGAAAGAGTCTGCTTTGGGAGTACCTMCCTCACAGCTGGATCAGAGAATGACAATGCAGAAGTTCTTTAAAAGAYGCCCAGTGTCATTTCTAGACAAAGGTAGTTTGCATAACCACAACAATTAGCACAGGGCCAAGTGCTTTCTGCAGATTCCCCAGCTGTTCTCAAGCCTCCCAGATCTCTTGTGAAACTCTTAGATGAAAGATTTTGAGAAAATGGAAATGCAATCATTTTGATACAGAGCCACTTCTGGATTTGCTGGACAGCAATCAGGATGTGAAATTAGCAGGCAGGGTCAWCTCCTTCATCTCCCACTCTGTGCAAGAATGCATGGTGCAATTTTAAACCAGACAGTCAAATAACTGAACAAAAGTAAAAATCAGAAGCAGACAGTTTGCATCTAAATGTCATTTTCTGAGCTCAGGTTATTGCAATTCTTTAATTCCCTTGCAGTCTCCAATATGTTGAGATCAGTGGAGTTCCCTGCTGCGCAACCTTACACCTACAGAACTCTGCCTTTCTTTTCCTATCCCTTTTATAACATCCTCAGAAAGATCAAATCATTAATGGCA